CCGCCCAATTTATAACAGGATTTCGTGTCCTCTGCTTTATTTGTTTCAAAATAGAATAGGATTTGTTGCTCAAGAGAGATTCATTAAGCGCAAATGTGGGTAAGCTGTCTTAGTTGTCAAGGTGGAAAGCTCTAATAGACAGGATCATGGTCAGACCAAGATATAGAGACAAACTTAGCAGTGAGCAATTTAGGTAGCAACCAAGAGATGAGAAATATATGATCAATGAGGGAATAACAATTATGAGCTCTGGAGAAATGAGAATAATCTCGGGAAGTTGGATTAGCCTCCCTCCAGACATCGCCCAAAACAACAGTAACTGGGTAAACCTGCGGCTCTGTCTGGAAGGGGATCTAAGCATGGCAGCAGAAGACTTGTCCAATATCTGGTCCAATGCTAAATTAGAATCTCCAGCCATTATAACATCGCCCTCAAACTCTGACGCCAAAGAGAAAAGCAGTGATTGGAAGAAATCCACCAGATTAGCATTAGGTGCTTGATAACCAGAAAGGTGAACAAATTTGCTCCCAGATGCCCTTTCACCAAAAGATAGCGTCCCTCCCAATCTTTAATTACTTTAGTTTCGATTAAAGATAAGCACCGGTACAGGCAAAGCGCAAGCCCCCTCTTGCTCTCTGAAGCATTAGTAAAATAGCAAACAGAATAATCTTTATGCACATATCGTGAGAGAAAGGAAGGGGGAAAGTGCTTCTCCTGGAGGGCCACAACGTCAGCTCCTAAGGAGCGGTAATGATAGAAGGCTTTAACACATTTAGAAGGCGAGCCAAACCCTTGGACACTATGAGAAAGCAATCGAATGATACCTCTGTCAGACCGATGTGAAGACATTGCTAGCAACAAAGTTCCGATGAACATGTAAGCTCACCTAACTTTGCAAAGCAGCAGGAATCCTGAGTATCCGGTAGAGAACATGGCTGACCCTCATGAAATGAGAAAGAAAAGAATTAGAAAAATATAAGAAAAGAATAGAGGCAAGACACTTGGGGTAAACATTACCCAGTGTCAGACGGAATTGTCAGGGACCGCTCCGTCCTCGGCGCATGCGCACTAGCGGTGGCTCACGCCGGGACACAAGCACCAGGTCCCGGCGCGCCGCGGCTGACAGGAGGCCGCGCATGCGCAGTAGGAGCCGCGGGTGCGCCTCGGGCAGCCAATGACAGCCCGGGGGCGCGTCCTGGGCAGCCAATGACAGTGCAGGGCGCGATATTTAAAGATGCCTTGCACTGTCACAAATCGCCGCAAGGTCTGACCAGCTATCTGAAGTTTTCCTGTGCCCTGTGATACTAGACCCGGATTGTTTGACTTCTCTGCCTGCTCCAGCTCTGACCCGGATTATCTGACTACGCTGCCTTCTCCTGTGTTTGACCCGGATTGCCCCTGACTACGCTGCCTTCTCCTATCCTGACCCCTGGCTTGTTTGACCATTCTGCGGACTGACTTCGGTACTGACCCTGCGTGTGACCTGACCACTCTCTGCCTGCCGTCTCTGTACCTCGCCATTCCCCACGGTGACAACCGCCGGTTTATCCTGCCTGGTCCTGCCGGCCTCCTCACATCTGGCTCTCTCTCATCCCCGGAGGCTCCCTCTGCCACTGGTGGTTTTGCTCGGAGGTCGTGACCCAGTCCTGGTTCTGCTCCAAGTCCATCCCCACCATCAGGGGCCCTGGTGAAAACGCAGACCGGGACTTAGACTCCACGCTCCGGGTGATTCCGCCTAGTGGGCTGCCAGAGGTACCACCTGGCGGATCCGTAACAGGAATATTACAACATACATTATAAAGCAACATGTAAAAAAATTAACCAAATAGTCCAGGGCTGTGGCCCTGGAAAGGAAGAGGTCTTCCAAAAGAAAACCTGGGGAGAGTCCTCCAATCTGAAAGGGCACATAAACACCTCCCGGCACAAAAATAAATACAGTATAGAATATAAATGGCAACTGATATCTCACAAAAAAAAATCGTCAAAATTAGCAATAACATAGAAAACCTCCATTAAGCAACTGCAAATGGACACGTAGCTAGAAACAAAACATACTCTTGTGAAAGAAAAAAAAAAAAGGGGGAGAAGACATAAGCAACAAAAACGGAAAGGGAACAATGCACAGGCAAGAAACCAAAAAAACTAACAATGGTAGCTAATGTCCAAATAGGGAACCACGGAGAAGCTACCACATAGAAAATCCAAGGCACATCAATGGAGGGTTCTTAAGTAGCTCGGCGAGAGGTCTAATCTGCTTTGGTGGTGAGGCAGACCAGAGAGGCAAAAGCAGCAGAGGTAGAACACTGGACCTGGATTGGGTGTGGGATGAAGGACTATGGGAGATGAAGCCCAGTTGGAGTAAGATGTTTTTCCCTTCATGAAATGTAGAAAAAGTGTAGGGTTTACCATTGTAGGTAAATTGAAGCAGAAATAGATAAGCCCAACAATAGCAAATGTCCCACTGCATCAAGGAGAGCAGCGGTTTGAAGGAACTTCTTTTTTGGATGGTTGTTTGAGAGATATCCGCAAAAATTAGAATTTTGTGGCCAGCAAGTTCCATGTCTGGATTTTCTCTAGCCTATTTCATGACCTCTTTCTTAATCCAGAAGAAGTGTGGTTTGACAATAACATCGCTAGGAGGCCCCTCCGGTCTAGGGGGAATTAGGGCCCTGTAAATGCAGTCAATTACCAAATGGAGGTCATCAATCTCAGGCACTGCAGATCGCATAGGCGAATGAGTAAGGGTAGTAAGATCTTTCACCGATTCCGGGAGTCCCCGGATACGGAAATTGTAGCGTCGGGTCCGGTTTTCCAGGTCGTCTATTTTAGTGTAAGCTTCTTCCAGTCGGTCCTGCAACTCAATAATCATGTTAGACTTTTGAGATACATTATAGACAGTGGCATCTGCTTTAGATTCAATACTATCCAGACGTTGGCCTAATTCCTGGAAATCCTGCTTTAAATCTGCGGCTAGCTTAGTAGCCTTATCCAATTCCTGCTGTAACAGCAAAGCGGGCAATAAGGACTGCGTGGGAATCATGGCCTAAGGAGCAGGCAAGAGGCCTGTGATGGAGATGCAGCAGGGCTAGAGGAGGGATGGGGGGATTGAAGAAGCTCACTCACCCCCTTAGTAGAAGTAGTAGGACCCACATCACGGACCTCAATGCAGGAAATGCAGGCCTTGGTCCTCTGTGGAAGAGGCCTAATTTGCAGGGAAGAACCGCCAGCAGTGGGACCGGAGCTGGCCACCATCTTGCCCCACCTGCCCGCCACAAGGAGCGAGTGTTGAGAGCCTCTCCAGCCCCTTCCAGCTGCTTGACCCGGCATGGAGAAGGGCTCTACAGTGCCCGAAGGTGATCAAATCCAGTTGGGAGCCTGGGAGAGGTCCGGTGCCCACTATAGGTTGCTGGATGTGACGGGAGGTTGCGGAGCAGTTCACTTGGGACATCTGCTCTGGCAGCCTGCGCATGAGCACCTAGGTGTGTGCAATGTTAATGCAAGACATGTTGGGTATCTATTTACTTGGCGCAACATCGTCTGTACCAAAAAAAAAAAAAAAAAGGTATTATATCGTGTTTGTGTGTACTAAAATTCATTAACCACTTCCCGCTGGCAGCACGCATATATGCAGCTTCTTGGTGGGTGGGCTTCAATGCCAAGTGGCCACATATATTCAGCCCTGTGTAAGAAACTTAGCACGCTGAGAGTGAACTACCTGCATGCCCCCAGCACGGTAACCTGTAAGCTCCCAAATGGGAACTTTCTGATTATGTGACAGCCAATCACATCAGTAACATGGCCTGAATGTCCACCTTTTGGCTTTTAAAGCTCTGAGAGGCGGTCGGTAGAATAGAAAGGGGTTAAAGAGTATTCCTGCCTGAAAATTTGCTCCTGAGAAGATGCACGACAGTGGCATTTGCTAACGAGCTGTTACCATTCCACAGGTGTGCTCAATTTAAAGCAAGATACGTTAGGTATCTATTTATTTGGCGCAACATCATCTTTTACATATATATATTTTTTAAATGGGTATTTTATTGTTTGTGTGTGTACCAAAATTCATTAACCACTTCTTGACCGCACTATAGCCGAATGATGGCTCCAGCGCAGTCGTCCAGTTCTGGGATAGCGTCATATGACGTCCTCCCTGAACACGCCCCCGTGCTGTGATCACTGCATCTTTTGGACACAACTGATCACATGACACAGTAAAGGGCCAATCACAGCGGCCTTTTACCATGTAATCAGCCGTGTCCAATCACAGCTGATCACCATGTAAATACACTTGCTGGTAATCGGCAGTCACAGCTTGAGGAAAGGACTGTCGATGACCAGCAACTGTGAAAGGAGACATCTACACTGATAATCAGGGCACTGATTATCAGTGCAGCCCCAGAAGTGCCCAACAGTGCTGCCCATGAGTGCTGTCAATATGTTCCCGTCAGTGCCCCACAGTGCTGCCTATCAACGCAACCTCATCAACGCACATCAGTGAAGGAGAAAAATTACCCGTTTGCAAAATTATATAATAGAAATAAAGAAAAATGTTTTTTTTTTTTTCAAAATTTTCAGACTTTTTTCATTTGTTTAGCAAAAAATAATGACCCAGTGGTGATTAAATACCACCAAAAGAAAGCTCTATTTGTGTGTAAAAAAATTATAAAAATTTTATATGGGTACAGTGTTGCATGACCGCGCAATTTTAAAACTGCGAAAACGCTGAAAGCGGAAAATTGACCTGGGCAGGAAGGGGATAAAGGTGCCTGGTAGGCAAGTGGTTAAAGTGTATTTTTTCCCAAAACAATGTGTTTGGAAAACCTCTGCGCAAATACTGTGACATAAAATATTGCAACATCCACCATTTTATTCTCTAGGACCTCTGCTTAAAAAATATATGTTTTGGGGGTTCTAAGTAAATTTCTAGCAAAATAAGGCTGATGTTCACATGTGGAGGAATGTCAGAATTGGCCTGGGGGGTCAATGGTTAAAGTGCTACTAAACCCAGGACCCTGCATTCACCATATCTGGTCTCCCAAAGTACACAGAACATGGAAAATACTAAACCCAGGACCCTGCATTCACTATATCTGGTCTCCCACAGTACACACAACATGGAAATGCAATTATTTTAAGCTCCACGAGCAGGGCCCTCCTATTCCTTGCGTACTGAAATGTATTGTAATGCGCTGTGCAAACTGTTGGCGCTATATAAAACCTGTATAATAATAATTTTAGTAAATATAACCAGCTAAATACCTTTTCTCATTAGCAGTTAGAGTAGTCTTGTGACTTCTATCAGTGTCCAGCCAAGCACTGGTTAATTATTATTATTATACAGTATTTATAGAGCGCCAATAGTTCGCTCAGCGCTGTACATTACAAAGGGGGACAGAACATGTGACAGAACAATACCAATACAATGCAAAACATGAGGGGATCGAGGGCCCTGCTCTTTCGAGCTTACAATCTAGGAGCACTAGTAATCTTGTAGTTTTCTTTCTGCTCTAGGATGCAGTACCCCTGACCTCTGTCTGAACAGTGCTTGATCATATGCACTCTCCCAAGAAAAACAAAACAAACTGTTCTAGCAATACACACTAAACTGAGCATGTGCAGTGTCTCCACACCATATATCCTATCAGGAGATAAGATGGGGACACTGAAAGAAGGGGAGCATCAGAGAAAACAGGATCAAACAGCCTTTTTACACAATGCAGAGGATTATTCCCTTAGGTTACACAAGGAGTACAAGCATGCTTTACTACATACACCGACTGATTTTACTGTTGTGGAATTAGTAACACTTTAATACCACTTGAAGCATAACAGCCAGGCGCCCAGCACCTTCAGCAGGGAGAGGGAGAAGCAGTTTAGGATTTCATTAAGTAGAGAAGCTGCCAGCGAGCGATCTCCAGCCCTGAGCCATCCAGGGAGCTCGGATGTCTGGACAGGTAATGATGTGAAGCTCAGTCAATGCACACAGTACGGACTCTCATACAATGCACAGAATACACACGGCGAAGAGATGACCAGTCCACAGAACACTCACCATGGTTCTACAGATCCACTCAGCCACATCACACTTCCAGGGGAGTCGCTGCCGTGACGTCACCTCCGCCCTTCCCTATTGGAGAACTGCCAGCTTTCCAGTATGCCATGTCTGCGGCGGCCATATTCCTGTAGCCTGGAAGTCACTGACACCCACACTCTAACTCTGACAGTCGGCTCCTGCACTGCAGACACTTGGTGATGCGTCTTTCCCCTCACTCTGCTCACGGTTGCTATGTGAAGTGACATCACTGTAAATAGAATTTCCAATTGGCTTGCAGAGACCGCGCTGTTTCTTCTGTTTGGTTCTGGATCCGGAAGAGAGAAGTTCTTGTGGTTAGTGAGGTAGGAGAGTCTCCTCATAGAACTGTAGTGCGGCTGTGAGCTGGCGTATTATAAATGTCTACTTAGCCTTGCTCTGCTCACTTACTAAGACAGTCCGAAACAAACCTGGTTTCAGTTGGAGCACAGCCAATCAGCTTCTACATTTTCTAAGTTGTGCGTGTGAAAAAAAAAATGAAAGGTAGGAACTGATTGGTTGGTTTGGGCAGTGGCAGCAGGAGACAGAACTAGTCTCAGACACTAGGCTGACCATACATTATACATTTTTTTTGTACAATTTCATTTAGCTTTACCTTCAGCCCTGGTTCACACTGATGCGGTGTGGATTTCTCAGCGTTTTCTGTGCAAATTCCACACCGCATCAAAATTGCACCCAGTTCATGCGAACTGCTGCGGGTGTGTATTTTAACCATTTCAATACCGGGCACTTTTACCCCTTCCTGCCCAGGCAAGTTTTCAGGTTTCAGCGCTCTCACACTTTGAATGACAATTGCGCGGTCATACAACATTGTACCCAAACTAAAATTTTATCATTTTCTTCACACAACTAGAGCTTTCTTTTGGTAGTATTTAATCATTGCTGGGATTTTTATTTTTTGCTAAATTAACAAAAAAACACCAAAAATGTTTTTTTTGTTTCTGTTATAAAAGGGGAAGTGATCAGTATTTTTTTTTTTTTTTTTTTACACAATTTGCTTATAGCAAAGAATTACTTTGCTATAAGCAAGCATTTACCTGAATGACATCGATTCATTCAGGGTTTTTTTTTTGTGCTTAGCTGTGATTTGGCCACAGCTCATCACATGACATGTGATTAGCTGTGACCATTCACAACTAGTATACAATGGATGGCATGAATGAAGCCATCCATTTTATACAACTGTCACGTGACCTGCTGTGATTGGTCACAGCAGGTCACATGGTACTGGCCACGGGGGCTGATACTCAGATCTGCCATCGGCCGTGTCCGAGGTACACGGCCGGTGACAGATCGCGGCTCTGCAGGAGCGCAATCTGCGCATGTGCGGGAGGACGCCATATGGCGTCCATCCGGAACGCTGATGACATTTGCCGGCCGCCATTCGGCCATAGGGCGGGTGGCAAATGGTTAACAACACCCCAAAAGCGGTCTGTAAAATGTGCGATGTGCAGATTTGGATCACATAGATGTGAATACCCATGTGATCTGATTCTAGTGTGATCCTGCATGTTTTTGGTGTGGTGCGATTAGAGCCATACATAATGTATGACTCCAATCGCACCGCACACAAATCGCATGTGATTTGCTGAGAAGTGCGGTTCCTGTGGGAATCGCATGCGATATACCGCACCGCATATATGTGAACCCCGGGCTCAACTATGTAATGCAAGGGCCTACCTAATTGGATACAATTGAAGGTGTTGTTTAGATATGACCTCATATTTTATGGTTTTTGGTAAATCTAAAGGAAAATTGTATAATGTATGGCCAGTATAAGGGGGAGATTTACTAAAACTGGAGCTCTCAGAATCTGGTACAGCTGTGCATGGTAGCCAATCAGCTTATAACTTCCTCTAGTGCACTTAACCCCTTGGCGCCATCACTTCCCAGCCTCTTAAAGGGATTCTACATGCTTCAAAAAAACACAAACATGTCTATACTTACCTGCTGTGTGCAGTGGTTTTGCACAGAGCAGCCAGGATCATCCTCTTCACGGGTCCCCTGCCGGCACTCCTGGCCCCTCCCTCCTTTTGGGTGCCCCCACAGCAAGCAACTTGCTATGGGGACACCCAAGCATGCACACTCCCCAGCCACTTCTCTATGTGTCCATTCACAGATGGAGCTGTGGCTCAGCCCCACCCCTCTCTCGCTTCTCATTGGCTCACGGGTTGTTATTGACAGTGGCTCCCACTGCTGTCTCAGCCATTGAGGAGAGGGAGTCCGGGGACAGCCGAAACTCCAATGCACATCGCTTTATCGAGAGGGGGCTTAGGTGAGTATTGGTGGGGGGGTGCTGCACAGAGAAGGTTAATTTTTTATATTGTATTGCACCAAGCTCTCACCGAGAGGTCTCGGTCTCGTACTAACGTGTCACTTGATCACTGTGATCTCCTCTGATTGGCGATCACAGTAATCAGTCACGGTGAGCCTGCCACTGTGTATACTTCCTGAATGAAGGGAAAGATGCATTGTATCTTTCTCTTCTCATAGGAGACGAAGATATAAACAAATAAAAGTGTGTAAATAAATAATAATTTAAAAAAAAAATAAATCAAGGTTTGCCTTGGTTAGTGTTAGTGTTAGGGTTAAGGTAAAGGTCAAAGGTCACATTCAGTATATTTTGGGTAGACTTAAAAAAAATATATTTTTTTAAAAATTTAGCTGTATATTTCTTGCTACTACCATAATTTACCAGCAAAGAACTACCCAAAATAAATTCTCCCGCTCCCAACGATCAGTGTTAGCACGTATGTGTATGTTAGTTGCTGTTTGTACCCTTAAAAGGGCCCAGAAACAATGGTCTGCATTTTGCGTTTTTTTTTTATTCTACCTAAAACACACTGGCACCAAGTTTACAAAAAAAAAAAAAGCGTTAACATTTACACCATACGAAAGTCCCATTTGTTGTGAAAGAAACAAGGTATAATCTACGTGGATACACAAAGTAGTTGCAATGATATGTACAGTTTTACTAAAACATCAAAGTTGCTAAATTGTGCTTAGGCGTTAACATTTGTGTTACTCTGTCGCTAAGGTGTTAATGGAGCAGACATTGGGGCTTGATTTGGCTGCCAGCATGCCCTTGTACTGAGCACCCAAATGCTTCCATGTGAGAGGGTAACCTGAAGGAATAAAGTTTTTTTCTTTTTCTTCATTGGGGCTGGCGCCTCCTCTACTCGCTCAGCAGATGAACTTCTGCTGAGCATTAAGAGAGCCCAACGCTCCCCTTTCCTGATGAGCACCCAGTCAGTACTGGTCACACTGCAAGGTTTCTCCTCTCCCTGCTATTCCCCGGGACGTTTACTTAAAGCGGTATTAGGCTCTATTCACACTTTTGCGAATTGTCATGCGACTTTGGACACATAAACTCACATGACAGGTCATGGCCCATTGTTATCAATGGCAACCATTCGGATCTATGCATCCTAGAAAAGGTGCCTGCAATACTTTGATGCGACTTAGTGCCAGAGAGTATAAGTTTGCATTAAAGTCACACAAGTGTGAATGGAGCCTTAAAGTGGAACTTTAGTCAGAAAATGAAGTCCTGCTGTCACTTCATGCTGGCACCTTGTGCAACTATAGCTATGCAAAACAGTAAAAATAAGTGTCTATCCTGTTTAAAATCCAGTAATACTCTGTCTCACCCTGCTCTACACATGCTCAGCTGCTCTCTATTTTTTAGGCACTGCCGAATTTGTAGAGGCCATGTCATGGCCATGTCACTGTCATGGTGCTGCACATGTGATCAGTTAAGACACCAGTTATTTGATGGTTTGACAGTTTGGTTGATGACACAAGCAAATGTGACAATTAACATTCATGGCATTCCAGGAATGTAACTGGTTTTTGAAACTGTTAATTTTATGATCTACTGCTGTTCAGGGGCTCTGGGGTTAAGCAAAATGGCAACCTCCAGCAAGCAGAAACTGGAGCAATGCTGGAGACAATTTACATAATTAATAATAAGCATAATTATTAATGTAGAATGCATGTTTCTTGCTAAAGAACA